GTGTGTCATGGTCACGTTGACTGCTAGTCTGTTTTAGAACCTAATTCTTATTACACTCCACGACCGCAAAACATGAATGGGTAGCTGGTTAGCTATCCCTAGGAAGAGACGCGTTTTTCCCATTCGTTTTACAGTCAGGATCCATCCCAGTAAGTCCCGCCTTCGAACACAGTTGTCAATACATTTTTATTCCACTTTCTACTGGCAAGCTCAATCTTGAATTAGTTTATGTAAATCAACTCAAGTAATTCACCAGACCTTTGTCAGCTGAGGGTCATCCTTGAATGAGTAACAGTTGTTTTGGTTGTGATTTCTGTCATTGCATGAGATAGCCACGTCTGGCAACTCAGGGGTATATCACCATGGGTAAGAGGGAGAGAGGTCCTCAAAAAAAAAAAATTGTGACAACCCTCCCAGCTACACAAGGACCTGGGCGACTTACTAACTCCATCGCAGTATATATACTGTAAACAAATAAATAAATAATAAAATAAAATAAAAATAAGCAGCACTATATAAATAAACCAATATTAATACAAAGGTCTGACGACCCAAGGGAGCAGAACAAAGATAAAACACTAATAGGAAAGATGAAGCGATCTGGTTGAGCCCAGATTCCTTCTACTCCTACTGTATTTCAGTATCACCACTTTTTCTTCAACCCCTAATAATCTTCTTTCTCCTCACAACTCATGACTCCGTTCCGTTCCGAGAGGTCCTCCGTGACGCCCTCTTCAACTTTGTTCCCAGATCCAGGGGTGGGCTTATTTGAACATTCACCGATAGCCCCGGAGCCAGTGGATAACCAGCAGGGATCAATATATGGCTGATGTCGGTGATTCGACATGATTGAGACGGCAGGTCCGCCTCGTGGGCCTCAGACCCCAGACTCGCCTTGTGTCTGGCTTCCACCGACCACAACAGCAGTCGTCAGTTGTTAGAGGCGCCATTGTTATACCCTGGGACATGCCTTGGAGTTATATGTCCACAGAGTGTGTTGTATATGTTTGGGGGATAATTAATTGGAAATAATTATCCCATGTTGGGTAGTGGACCCATGTATTTGTTGGTTTCAGTATTAACGTGTATGTTGTGAGTGCATCTCATATACACTACCAACAGTCTGTGAGGTATCATAAGTAAGTTTGTCTTGTAACTGTACTGTAATGCCACGTACCACCAGTAGGTGTGAGAAGTAAAGTAATCAGCAAGGAGTTGTCATGTAACTATGTATTGTGAGTAGGGCCAAGGAACTGGTCCTGCTGTGTAATGCAATGTAACACCAGTAAGGTTATGTGCAGTGAAAGCACAAGATCTGAGTCATTTGCAGTTGAGATAAGCCGAGGAGTTGCCCCTTGGAGTTAAATGTTAATAACATCTTTTTCCCTTTGAATTCATATTAATAAACCTGTTCTTAGAGTATTTTAGGAGTATTCATTTCTCCTGCAGTATTCCACCTGTATTTCCGTCCAAGTGACTTGATACCAGAATTACACTACCCATGTGTCCTAGACCCTCGTCACGCTACCAAAAAGAACTGAGGTTATGTAGCAACCATTGAACTAAAGTAAGTAGAAAGAACAATTAAAAGAACTAAGACAAGAGAAGTAAGAGTGTAAGAAAAGATAAGGGTGGCAGTGTGAAGGAAGAACCGCCGCTTGTACAAGTGGGAACGAAGTCATCCCGACAGTTTAAATACCAGTTCTTACGAGTTGAAGTCCGGAAATCCAGTTGTTGCCTATGTTGTCGAAGAGAGAAATCTCAGTTTTATGTGTTGTCTGAACGTTTCTGGGAGTTGACTTCGTCAGTGGAATCGAAGTCACCACGACATTTCAAATGGCAGTTCTTACGAACTGAAGTCCGGAAATCCAGTTGCTGCATATGTTGTCGAAGGGAGAAATCTCAGGCTTTTATGTGTGTTGTCGGAAGTTTCTTTTTGGTTATTGACTCACTACAGGTAATGGAGTCACCCCGACCTTAAAATGCCTGTTCTTCTGAACTGTGAGATAGAAAATCCAGGTTTGGTGTTATGAGCCTCATTGTGTTAAAGTAACGTAGTTAATGTGCTTTGAGTGAAGTATTTTATGTCCTTACTTAATGTCCCTTTGAAACGTTGAGGTTCGTTATACACCGTGAGTGAGCCGCCACAGGTCCCTAACGCAGCCTAGGCCATGTCTGTTGCGTGGATGACGCATCCACAAGTCTTGGGAGATGTCTGAGGTCCAGTGGAGTCGGGTGTCCCCTTGAACCCCGACCGTCAGAAGCTCCACTACCACCCATGGGCCCCATAGGGGGTAATATTCCCCTAACGCCCTGCCCCTGTGGTGAACCCGGATCTTCAAGCCCCCAAACTACTGCCAGCCCCATCATTGGTAGATGAGTACAGTACATAACTTTGTGGGGCTGTTGGTGTGGTGGTGTTAGTCCACCAGAATTATCGGAGTGTTGGAAGGTGTCACTTGTTGATGAGACTCCCATGGCGGCCGCTGGAGTATTTCCCCTGAGGTATTGAGTGTTGTACTGGCAGGTGCCACTGGTTTTATTGGTACTGAGGTGCTGTAAGAGTTTATGTGCGTTTTGGTGTGGGTACACCCAGTAGTGGTACAAGTAAATTGAGCCTGAGGGCATGGTACCAGGAGTAATAATCTGCCCATTTTTTTTTCCCGTTGTTAACTA